TCAGGTAGTGACACACCCCCATCAGAGCCTTGCTGTTGAGGGAGGCCCCTGCCCAGTGGCTGTGGCTGGCTGGACATTACTGCCCCTGAGCAGGATGAAAGGCCCCCCAAGACCCATCACCCACTGTGTGCTGGCCTCTCCTCTGGGCCCCAGATCCCAGACAAGGGTGTTGAAGGGTGGAAAGAAGATGAAGAAGCTTATTTAGGAGCCACTTAATGTACTTGAATCCGCAGATTTCAAAGCCTTCAAGAATGACCATTTTCTCTCACTTCCTTTACTGTGGGTCCCTTTAAATGTCAGATGAAAGCTTTGGGCCCCTCCCCAGAAAAAGATGGCCAGAATTTCGCATGTTCCTCTGAGGCCCAGGATGTTTCAGGGTGGGATCCCTGAGCACAAACCTAGGCTGGACTGCTTGGGGACCGGCGAGGCATTTAGAGGCCATGGGGTTGGGTGGGCATCAAGGCTGTAAGGGTGGGAGGTATCCAGGCAGGTGCTCACTTCCAAGTCAGCCTGAGGAGAATGGCATGCACCATGGCTGCGGGTACCTGGCCTGTCCCTTCAAAGGACTGTCCTCAGGCCACACAGAAGGGGCTGCAGGTGTTCACCATTCCTTGGGAACAGGTCAGAAGGCTTCCCTCACTCACACCTGTCTCCTAGATCCCCTAAAAATCCACAGGTGGGCACAGGGCACCTCCCTCAGCCAGCTGCTACCACCCTCGTACCCCACACTGACTACACCTTGGGAGCTCTTGCGCCCAGGCTAGATGGGGTCCATCCTGATCACTGACTTTTGGCCCTGGCCATGCAGGATGCCTATGACAACGTCACTGTGGACGTGGAGCTGGCTCGCCGTGAGGGCTGGTGTTTTGGGGCCAAGCTGGTACGGGGTGCATACATGGCCCAGGAGCGGGCCCGTGCTGAGGAGATTGGCTATGAGGACCCCATCAACCCTACATACGAGGCTACCAACGTCATGTACCACAGGTGTGCCAGCCCTCCTTGGGCCCTAGAGCCTCAGGGCTACCTGGGGAGAGAAGTGAGTAAACAGGGCAAGGGAATCATACTGCCTTGGTGCTAGAGCTGACCCAGTAGAACCCCTATCCAATGGGGGGACAGCCCTGGGGGTCAGAAGCTTCTGGTAGGAGCCCTGAGGCCAGAACTGATTTTCTCTGCTTTTAACTTTTCAAAAATATTAAGGTGGTTTTTTAAATATAGAAATGTCTACTGAACAAAATTAAACTGGTGCAGGTCTCCCGACAGCACCAGTTGGTGCTGGAGCTGCCCCTCCCCCCAGCTCGTTGGCTTCCAGGGACCATCGGTTGTTCTGCATCTCTTTTGCTCTATTAAATCTTGGAGACCTGTTATGCAGCATAGACAGGCTGACTTCATGCTCTTTCTTCCTGAGATTGTGTGGATGAGTTGCAAATTCAAAGAGACTCTTGAGTGTTTCCCCTCACCAGCCTGTGTACTCTTCCCGGCAGCACCCTGCTTCCTTCCTGGAGCTGCCGTGCCTGTCTGTGCTGGCTCGGACTGTGTCGTGGTTGGTGTTGTGCGCTCAGTCCTCTGTCCTTGCTTTTTCAGTAAAGCTGTATCTGGATCCCCCCAGATCATCACGCAGACTGTTAGTTACCCTAACGGCCAGCGTGGGGTGCCCATACTTATGTGCGTCCCTGCAAGCTTTAAAGTGGTTTGGTGTCCTGCTGTCATAAGGGTGACTCAGGGCATAACCCGTCCCTGTCTGTTGTACGCATGGGTGAGGACACAGCTGTTACATGTTCCTGGACCTGGAGCTGCTGGGTCAGAGAATGCTGTCTTCACTGCCAGATGGCAGCATCTTTCATGCCACAGGGGGGCCCCATCCCTCAACCTGGGCTTTTAAATTCCTCACAGACCCCTTCCTGAAGCAGAGCTGCATGTCTTGGGCACACAGCACACTGTACCTCAGCTAGTCCGCTGTGAACGGTTGGCCCTAGTGCTGCTCACTTGTTTTTACTCACAGGGTGCTGAGGAGGGACAAGTACTCCTTGCTTTGGTCCTGTTGTCACAGGCACCTTTGGGAGGAGCGGGCTCTCATTGGACAGCCTGTGGCCTCTGCCCCTGTGGGGGACCTCTCCAGGCCCAGGCTCATGTAGCACTCTTCCCAGGTGCCTCAACTATGTCTTGGAGGAACTGAAGCACAACGCCAAAGCTCAAGTGATGGTGGCCTCCCACAATGAGGATACAGTGCAATTCACACTGCGCAGGTAGGCACACTGCGCCCCACCCCCCCGACCCCGCCCCAGCTGTTTAGAGGTTCTCTGGTTAGGAAGGGGCTTGGTGAGCACCCTGGAAGCATGTGCAGAGTAACCTGCCAGGCACCATGGTGTTTTGCGGGGAACATCTGTGGAACAAGCTTGAGTAGTGGCTTTAGTGCCCCACAGGCTCCTGCCCTGCCAGGTCTGGCTGGGCATTACCACTGCTGTAGCAAAAACGCTATTTGCAGTTAATTTGGTTTTTTCAATTAATACTTGACTTATTAAAGTTTAAAATTCAAGGAATAAATTTCATTAGGTGACTTAAATGGCTAATTGAAATGCATAAATACAGTGTGTAATATTGGAATGCCTTAGGAGGCCTCATTTATAAACAATTTCTCTTAACATTTTAAAGTTCATCTGGAATTTAATATAGTCTGTTTTCTCTTTAAATGCCCATCCTGTGGAACAAAACTTTGTCTGGCAGAATCCTTACAACTCAGATATAGGAATAAGGTGAAGTAAATTCTTAAATATTCCAGTATTATCACCATGTTCTTATGTCTCATACCTTAACCTGAGCAGCACCACACCAGGGGTCCTAATTCCCTTGCCTCTTCCCCAGCCTCTGCCTTCTTGGGGCTTAGGCACTGTTCTGGGTCTTGCTGGCCCTCAACTTTCCCAGGAGTGAAGCAGGGGTTCCTGTCGCACAGCAGGCTTGCTGCTGAATGGGGCTTCTGAAGGAGCAGTGAAGGTGCAGGTGGGGCGAGGGTGCTGCCTGACTGGGCACTGCCTGGAGAGCTGACCGGTCATTCTAAACCCATTCAGTAATGTTGCTGCTTATCCTTTGTTCGTGGTGGTGCGGCTTTTTCAATCTGAAATTGCAACCGAAAACCACAATTTCTAGAGCACAGCAGTTGCAGCCGTTACGGTTGGGAACATGCGTGCCAAGGCTCCCTCCCGAGAATCTCTGCCAGGGTGGGCGAGGATGGGGGGCGGTGTGTGGCTGTTTACGTGGGGGTGCGGGAATCGAGCAGGACTGGTCCACCTTCTTACCTTCATCACTAGGGACTTCTCAGGCCCTCATTTCCCACCTTGGATGCCCAATCCTTGTCGCCCAATGTCAGAGGGCCACCTTTGTGCCCAGCAAAGATTAGTTCTGGCTTCTCTTTTAAAATGAACACTTGATTGAGTTGCAAATTTTAAAACCTGGCTTTCTCTTAGGCTTAAAAATATTGTGTGATGGAACCTTGGTCAAGGCTTGATTCCTCTCATGCCAGGGTCCTCCACTAGATGATCTATGCGCAGAGCCTCCCGTACCCCTGGCCCAGCACTTGGGAACCTGCACCCCTGCAGTGGTGTGCCCGATGGGCACCAGCTGTGTGCAAGGCGCCACTTTCCTAAGTTTCAATTACAAACTCAGAAGACTTTCTTGGCCACTCACATTTTTGCTTGGAATCACAGGCTAGTCCACTCAGACACTGACTAGACAGAGAACTATGAAACTCCTAAAGGTACAATCTGACCTCTGAAAGGCTTCCTGTCTCCTGATTTCTGTATCTTCCCACTGAGAACACACCTGTCTTCACCACTTTGGTCATGGCAGCCTCCTGCCCTGAATGCAGCTTCCCCTGTCCTGAGTGCCGGCTGAGTGCTCTCTCCTTTCTCATAGCCTCCAGGTCCCATGCCAGGCCCCACAAATACCCCTGTCATGGGGAAGGCCCAGCCCCCACAGGCCGCAGTCCTGGGGTCCTGCTCTGCAGGTCAGGGAGCCCCGAGCAGCTTGGGCCCCCCATCCCTGGGAAGCAGTGTAGGTCTCTGATGCTGCACACCAGGGACTTCAGTCAGACAGCCTATGTCAGCTTTGGCCAAGTTAATAAACCAACCCCAGACTCAGGCCTAAACCCCAGTATGTTCTGTGGGCCAGCAGTGTGGACTACACTAAGCTATGGCCTGGTTGGCCCTAAATGGCTTCATTCATGGTTGGGGCAGCAAACGGGACTGCAGCATGTGTACATTGTCCAACAATCCAGGCCAGGCTTTGCCACATGGTGAGCTCAGTCTTCTAGAAGCCCTGAAGAGGGCAAGCCTCTGTCCATGGCGCATTTGCTATTGTTCTCTTGGCCAAAGGAAGTCATGAGGCCCAGTCCAGACACCAGGTGGCAAAAGCCTCCATCTGTACACTGGGAAAAGCTGCAGTCACATGGCAGAGGGCATGGACACCGACAGAGGAGGGGTCAGCAGCCATTTTTGCAGGACGCCACTTGAGCAAGTCAACAGGCAACATGGCGACAGCCCTGCATTCATGGGGTCGTATTCTGGTGGGGAACAGAGATTCGTGAACTGGAGACAGGGTGACATCGTGGAGATCAGGCCACTTTCAACTGGTTGGTCCCAACATAAGGGCTCAGCCCTGAGGCAAGACCCTTGTGGAGGTCTAGGGATCCTCGTGCGCTTGGTGCTCTGGGAACCTAGGGTGGGTGGCAGAGCCCTGAGACAGGGTGAGGGAGTCTCCTGGGGCAGGGACAGGGAAGCACAGGCCTGGCCTGTAGCCTGGGTGGGTGTGAGGAAGACCCAGGCTGAACATGCCTCTGGGGTAAGTGGAAAATCGGGGCAGCCCCAGAGTGCGGTGCAGATAGACAAGTCTGGATACAAAGATGTAGGAAGCAGGAAATAAAAATGAAATCATCAACAAGTAGGTATTTCAAATCTTTGGAATGTCTGTAACATCCTATGAGTGGAGGTGTGAGAACAGGAGAGGGTGCTGGGAAGAACTGCCTCACCCCCGTACCCCATAACATCTGAGTGGTGCTAACAGAAGTGGGAGCTACATCTATTCTGAATGTTCTAGTAACCACATTAAAAGAAAAAGATGAAGTTAATTTTAGTAAAGCATTTCAGTTAACCCAACATATTCAAAATATTACCATTTAAACATGTATTTGGTATTTCAGAAAAAAAAAAAAGAGATATTCTGCATTCTTTTTTTCATACTAACTCTTTCACAGTCTCACGTGTTTGACACTTGTAGCACCACCCGCCTTCCAAAGACTCAGTGGCTGCTGGTTGCTGCCATATATGATGGAGCAGCCAGCAAGGGGAGGACAAGAAGCCAGGTTGGGGTGGGAAGACTTGAGATGTGCCACCTAAGTACGAGGGCTAGAGAAAGGGGCAGTGGGAGGGCTGAGCTTCCCTGGGCCACACTGTGGGGCAGGCTGCTGGGGGTGTCTGCCTCAGTGGGTCAGGGTACCAGCAACGGGTTGGGGCAGGCAGGAGGGAAGGGGCCATTGGGAAATGAGCACAGCAGGAGGGGAGGCTGGCTAGGGAAGGAGGGAACTTGGTGGCTACGAGCCAAGGTAGGAACAGCAGGGCAGAGGCCTAATCTGGATAGGACAGAGCTTATACCTATGCCCCATGCTGCAGGGGATGGAAGTTAGAGCATGTGGATGGTATCTGGGGAGCAGAGGAGCTAAGATCTAGCACAGGGAGCCCAGGGGCTCACCCACTGCCTTGCCTGGTCACAGGATGGAGGAACTGGGCCTGCATCCCGCTGATTGCCAGGTGTACTTTGGACAGCTGCTGGGCATGTGTGATCAGATCAGCTTTCCGCTGGGTGAGCTGGGCCTTCCTGGGGAGTGGGCTGGAGGCATCGGGATTGGGACTCACTGCCTCTGCCTGTGCATGCAGGCCAGGCAGGCTTCCCTGTGTACAAGTATGTGCCCTTCGGCCCTGTGATGGAGGTGCTGCCTTACCTGTCCCGCCGAGCCCTGGAGAACAGCAGTGTCATGAAGGGTGCCCAGCGGGAGCGGCAACTGCTATGGCAGGAGCTCAGGCGGAGGCTCCGCACAGGCAGCCTCTTCTACCGCCCAGCCTAGTACCCATGGGCCACTGCCGCCGCCGCCAGCACTCCCACCGGACTCAGCCTTCTGGGGCCCTCAGGCTGGGGCTGGGATCTGGGGAGTCTGGGTGGCCCCTAGGCCGATGTTGCAACTATGACCCAAGCCCAACCTCACATGGATTCACTTTCTTACACCCATGATTATGAGAACTGCTGGAAGTGGGGCCTCACTGACTCCTGGCCCTTGCCCAGGATGTGGACACTCAGGTGTAAGCCGAATCGGACACCTGCCAGAGCTACTGGCAGTCAGGAACTGCCTTCAACAAGTTGGCACTGCCCCCATCTGTGCTCACCCCCACAACCTTGGAACCGAAAGCCTGCCTTCCACCAGAGTCCAACTCATACACCCTAAGCCCCACAGATGGATAATAGCCAGGCTGGGGAAGGCAGTCTGATCAATAAACCACTATTTCTATAGCTGAGAGCCCTCAGTGCTGTGCCCAAAACACTCTATCCTGTGGGGCCCTTGGGTGGGTCAACAGCAGAGAGGGAGTATCTCCTATGGCTTGAGAAATCTCACCTCAGGCTCTGCCTCTCCCAAATCATGTGCCTCTGGAGGTCAGGCCCATACTTCCCTTTAGGTTATACTGCATCCCCTGCCGTGTAGAGTGTTGGACCTGCCTGCTGCCCCCCATCCCCCAACTCCACAACCCAAGATAATAGGAGGGCCCCCAGGCTCAGACCAATGCAGAGAGGATGTTTCTAGGGGTGGTACTTCCCTACCCTGGGTTTCTCCCTCCCTCAGACCCTGCTGCTCTGTGACCATGACCCACACCAGGTTCTTGTTGTTCTGATAGCAGCAGGCCTATGGCTGCCCCATCCCACACTTTTCAGCTGCCAGCCCTGTAGAGCAGACTAGATGTGCTGCTAATGCCCTAGGGGAAAGATGGTGGGGCTTGGCCTGCAGCTGCATGAGGGGAGCCCTAGGGAGGGGCCTCTGCCAGTTCTGTAGACCATGGAGCTACCAGGCAAGGGCCCGAGGTGGGCCTTGGTCATGACAGGTACCACAAAGCTGTCACACAAGCCACGTGTAGGCCATACTGAGGCATCTTTATTTCTCTGAGTCACACAGGGCTTTGGCCTTGGAGCATATCCCACTTGGGGGCTGCACATGCTAAGGAGACGAAAACAAGAAGGAAGCCTGGGGCCTAGCAGAGGTTGGGATGTTCTTGGTAGAATGATAAGGTGCTAAGACCTCTAGCCTCACCATTTGCCCAGCTCTGGGGCTGACAGCCAGCAGGCTGGGCCCACTGCCTTTACCATACTACCCTAGTTTTAGACATAACCTAGACAAAGGTGGGTGGCAGACACAACCAGGGTCCACCTTGCCTCTCCTCAGAGGGGTCATCCTTCCTGCAGGCACCTGGGAAGGTGGTGGCCAGATGTTGGGAAGACGAGTTCCTCAGCTTCCTGCTACCTGTGGCAACAGTGGGACAGGGCTGTCTTCTCAACCATAATGGGCACTGGGTAACTGGCAAGGACCCCACCTGGTCACAGGGCTGCCTTCCCTGCCTGGCAGCCCCTTTGCTGCAGCTTCCGGATGAGTTCCAACAGGTTCATCTGTAGCATTAGCTCCTGGGATACAGAGGGGTGACTGTGAGGCCAGAATGACACCAGGTCCCCTTTTGCCCTGACAAAGGCCCCAGGCAGAGGCCTCCTTTTCCCAAGGGCCCAGAAGCAGATATCAGGGCCTAGAGTGTGCCAAACAGTGAACCCACAGTGCTGACTTCCAGTGAAGCCTTGGCCACAGCCTGCCAGAACCTTGGACTCCACTACACAGCTGGGACTACAGCTGTCCTGGCCTGGGGCACACAGATATATGCAGGAGAGGAACAGATGAGTGCCCTCAGGGACACAGTGGGCCTGGGGAAGGTGAGCAACGCCTCTGCAGCCTGTTGGCTCGCCTTCCTGTGGGCAGAAGCAGTGGGACGGGCCTCTGTGCTGAGTGCTGCACAGAAACCCTTCCTGGAGCCTAACTCCTTCCCCCTCCCTTCACCCCACACGCCCTGGGCCTGGGCCCCCAGCAGCTAGCCTCAAAACCCTAGATAGAGTCTGGCTTTTGGGGATTAGTGTCCCCTGGGCTATGCCAGGACAGGCCTAGGATGCTGACCTGCGGATTGGTGGTGACATAGAAGCCAGCAACCCCTGCCTTTTCCAGTGTGCTCTGCTGGTCTGCCACCTTCCGGTCCAGCTCCAGGACAATCTTCTGGTCCATTGCCCGCTGCTCCTCACGGATCCGGTGTTCTACCGCCTGCCACAGTGGGGAAGCTCAGGAGTTCAGCACTGACCCACCAATGCCTCAAACACAGGCTCCCAGCCTGCCACCTCCTCGGGCGCCAACCACATCCCCCGCCCCAAAAGCTCAGACTCCAGGACCACTATACCACCCTTACTGCACCTGGATCACTCCCTTCTCGGCCACACCAAACTCTATGGAGGAGCTTAGTGGCCCTCCCCCCAAATGCTCTCCCCTCTAAGAGCTCCTATGAGGTGTCCTCCTCTTACTGTACCAGGCCTTGCCCAGTGCTCAGGATCACCATGAGCTGGTCAGACACGGGCTCCATCTCTGATTATTATCAAGTTGGCCACTGTCTCTGGGTCTTTGTGTACATTACCTCCCCACTGGGGCTGCCTAAGCCCAGCTCGGCACCTCCTTCCTGCAAGGCCCAAGCTTGCTGCCTCAGGACCTCACACATATCTCTGCATGCATCCCTACCACCTGTGGCTTCCTGGTTACATGTGGGTTTCCTGGTTGTCTCTGAGCAGGATAGGCCCCTGCTGACTGTCCCTGTCACCGTACCATTGCCCTGGTACCTCCAAGGCCATGACTACAATAGCTCCTGCTTAGCATCTGCCTGCATAGGCCCAGCCCACCAGGACTGGCAGTCTTGGGGAGCAGGAGGAATCACACATACTCTTCACCTAGTTCCAGCATACCCCAACACTTCACAGTAAAAAGCCACATGCAAGAACTCACCAGGCCTTATGAGCTCCCAAGCCATCCTGAGCCCCTCCACCACACCCTGTCAGAAGAGCCCAGGTGGTGCCCACCCCACCTGCACCCGTACCTCCTGCTCACGTTGCTGAGCTGCCTGAAGCATGAGCAAGTTGTGGGGCTGGCAGGCCTGCTGGGCTTCCTGGTGCTTCTGCCGTAGCGCCTGCCTGAGCACTGGAAGGGGACAAGACCAGAGTCCATCAGGAGGCAGCAGGGGTGACATGGAGTGGACCAGGGAACAGGTCCTTCCTCAGTGCCTGCTCCAGCTGTCCCACCAGAGTAGCCAGGCCAAAGGTGTAGATGTGAGGCCCTGCCTGATGACCCAGCCCTCCCGAAGCCCTGCACAGGAAGCTGGGTAGAAGTCCAGGGGATACTCAGTCACCCAACCCACGTGGTCCCACCCTCACCCAGGGCAGGGCCCTTTTCCAGCAGCAAGGCTCCAGGGGACTCAGGAAGGTGCAAGGCACTAGAGGGTGAGGCAGGGCAGGCTGGTGTGGAGGACGGGCCAGGGTTGTAGCCCAGACTCAAGACCTAGGGGGTGGGAGACTTTGATTTGGAGGCTTCTGGACTCAGATGTCCACAGGCCATCAGTCCTGGGCATGACATGATCGTCATCCATGGGACATCCACTGAGATGGCCAAGAGACCACCCAGGCAAAGGCCTAGAAAAGGAAGATGAAGAGATGGGTCACACTGCCAGAGCAAGGCATGGCATCTGCCCACAAGGGTATGGGAGTATCAGTGCTACCCTTCAGGATGGGCAGAGCCACCCCACCCCATCCACAGCTCCCAGGGGAAGTCGGGAGGGTACAGACCCTGGAAAGCCCAAGGCTGAGATAAGCTAGCAAAGGCCCTGGCTGGGGAGTCTATGCTGCTCTGAGAGGACCCCACTACTAAATTGTACCATTAATACAAGCATGTGCAAACTTGTCTAGTCTGATAGGACTGGACAGAGGAGAAAAGTATCATGGGATGGAAAGAAACCAATCACAAAACAATACTCAACACTAAGCAGCCCAACAAGTGTCAAGGGCCTACATCTCTCCCATAAAGTGGGATCCCTGGTCATAAGGAAACACAAGCCTAACACTGTCCTAGGCAGAAACCTCATATTACAGCTCTTCTCAGGAGGGCCCCTGAGGTTCCCCTGCCAGTAGTTTGGCACCCACTGTGCTCATAGCCTTCTCCAGTCTCCTGTTGCTTGGCATTCTGTGTGCACCTCGATTATGGCATGTATCACATAAATGAGTTGGAAACTAAGAGCCACTCGAGACATAGGGACAAGAAAGTTAATGTTTACAACACGTGGAGGCAGGATTCGAGGAAATAGATAAATGCAGGGAAATGTCATCTTCTTCACTGTTTATCAAATGTTGTTACAAATCCCAGGTCAATCCCCAGATGCCACTTGGATGAGCAACCAGAGATAAGAGGAGAGCTACACTGCTACCTGGGCAGATGGGGCGTGGCCTTAGTAATGACCAAAGAAAGTGACAGCTGCCAATCACCACTTGCTAATTCAGAAGAAAGGAAAAGCAAAAAGTCACAGGATGCTTGCCCACAGCCAGCAGCACTAAAACCTGCCCAAATATTCCAAAGTGTCTAGAGAGTTGTCAAAAACTCCCCACTAAAAGGAACCAAGGCTCGTGCTCTCTTGGGATAGCACATATACTAAAATCGGAATGCTACAAGATTAGTATGGCCCCTACACAAGAATGACATGCAAATTCATGAAGCGTTCCATATTTATAAATAAATATGATGAAGTACAATTTATTTTTTTTTTAAAAAAACAATGCTCCATGGAGAAATGGCAGGTTCTTTTTTTAAAAAATTATTCTGAGTGATTTATTTGCTCCCCAAACTACTAACCTCTGTGGAGATACAGATTACCAACATAAGAGCAAGCACTACCTACTGACAATAAGAGTGTGCCACAACTTCCTGCATTCGGCAGAGAATCAGAGGCAGGAGGAATGAGAAAGCCTTATGGTGGCCAAAGGGGAAGGTCTGTACTTATGAGAGGTTGTTGGTGTGGGGAAGCTGGAGGTGGGCTGACTAGTAGAGGGACTGAAGCATGGAAACAACAAGAAAAGATGAGCCAGAACACCTTCCTCTACCAGAAAGCAAGGAAGTACTCAAAGAATGATGGGGACACATCGAAAAGACACAAGAGCCAGCCTAGAGTTTTCCCACCGGCCAAATGTGGCACAATTTGAGCATTAGAAAGAATAAGTTATGTACTTTGAATCTGTGACTATATGCATTTATACCTCAATAGAAATGTTTACAAAGACAACCACCCAGACATTTAGAAAAGAAGTAATACTGACCCTACACAAACTCTCCTGGAAAACTGAAGAGAACACTTCCCAACTCATCTTATGAAGACAGCATCACCCTGATACCCAAACCAGACAGACATAAAAAGAAAACTACACATCGATGTCCATCATGAATGTAGAGGCAAAAATTCTTGAGATTTTAGCAAAGCAAATCCAACAGAGACAAGGAGAGAATAAATCATGACCAAGTAGGATTTGTTCCAGGAATGTAGTTTATCCCAGGATTAAAAAAAAAAATCAATGTAATTCACCATAGTAACTGAAAAGCTACTGATCATTTCAAGAGAAGCAGAAAAAGGATATGACAAAATGCAACATCCATTCTTGATAGAAACACACTAATTCTGGGGCAGACAAATATTGCCTATCCCCATAGGGAAGGGACCCTGTATCACTAGAGGAATTTTTGCCACAACCATTTAACTTGCATATCATCAGGCTCTACCTGCTGTCCACTTTACAGGAAACAGAGGGTAGAGAACCAGGTTAAATGAGAGCACGAAGAAGCAACGTGACAAATCCAGAGTGGGGACATTCTATAGGTAGCATGCCTCGGAGTCCTCAAAAAGTCAATGCCACAACAAATGCTGGTGACTGTTCCAGAAGCAGAGAGACCAAAGTAACCAATTAACAATACATGAACCTCCACAGAATCCTTATAAAGTGACAATTTGAGACAAGCTAGGTAATGTGACCGTGAACTAAAGGTCAGAAGACAGCCCAGAATGGTGAATTTCTCAGAAGGCTATCTGCAGTGGTTACATAGGAGAGTGTTCTTGTTCTACAGTACTGGTTCTCAATCCTAGGCTAAAGTTGACCCCCAAGGATATCTGAAGATATTTCTGGTTGTTGCGACTTGGGGAGGATGTCACTGTCATCTAGTGGGTAGAACCCAGGGATGTTGCTAAACATCCTGCTATGCACAGGACATTGTTTCACCATTAAGACTTGTCCAGCCACAAGTGTCAACAGTGCTATGCTTGAAAACCATGGTCTAGAGCAGGGGTCCCCAATCGCGGGGCCGTGGACCGGTATTGGTCAGTGGCTTGGTAGGAACTGGACCACACAGCAGGAGGTGAACAGTGGGTGAATGAGGGAACTTTCATTTGTGTTTGCAGTCACTCCCCTCACTGCCTCTGCTCCACCTCAGATCATCAGGCATTAGATTTTCACAAGAGCACTGGTCCCTGGTACCAAAAAGGTTGGAGACCACTGGTCTGAATGTTTGATTTAAAAAAATAAAAAATAAATAAGGGGAACAATAAAATAACAAAAGTGGGAAATCTGATGGGACAGGTAGAGTTATCCAGCATACCTTCCAGGAAGGGGCTCAGGAGCCCCCTCGCCCCCAGTGGGGATGCCTGGGAGAGGCCAAGGCTCACGAGGCTTTGGCCAAGCTGGGGCTCAAGTGAGTAAGCTTTTGGGTCCCAGAGGGTGCACTGGGCACAGTGTATAGGAATTCGATGCACAGCTGGTGTGGGGTTCTGTATCTGAGAGAAGGAACTGACCATAAATATCGCTGCATAGCTGTCCAACACTGGAGGGCATCCCTGGGGGCCGTCAACCGCTACACAAACAGCCACCACCGGAATCTGTCCGTGGACTGGCCAAGCACCGAGGCCTTGGGCCATCTTGCCTGGAGGGGGGTGGGGACACAAGGGAGCCCAAACAGAAAGTTTCGGGACATTATGCTAAAGGGGGCTGCTGTGCAACTGACAAAAACAAAAAACTGGCTTGACCCATTTGTCATCAAAAAAGCGCTAGCAAAGATTCCGTGTCCTTGATCTGGTCAATGTTAGGGCTAAAGGGGGCTGCTGTGCAACTGACAAAAACAACTGGCTTGACCCATTTGTCATCAAAAAAAGCGCTAGCAAAGGTTCCGTGTCCTTGATCTGGTCGATGTTAGGCACTTTTTCCGAGCGACACCCAGGGATGGGCTCGGCCCGCAGAGACCGAGAGCTCCCGGGCCAGGATGATCTCCCGTTGGAGCTTGCGTCGTCCCGCCACCCCCGCGCACCTCGGTGCTCGTTCTGCAGACGCAGGCGCTGGTTGTACAGGCTCTTCTCGGTGAGGTGCTGGATCTCCAGCAGCCCCTGCACGATCTCGAATACTGTGCCGTCGAGGAGCGCCAGGGCCAGGTCGCTGAGCGTGGTATAGGACAGGCGCTGTTGGAAAGAACTGCGGACAGAAGGGACACGGTGAGCGCGGGCGGGACCTGGAGCTGCCTCAGCCGCCTGCCCCGCGGCCGCGCACCTGGGCAGCTCCTTGACCAGGCTCTGCAGCGCCGACAGCAGCTGATAGTGCCGCTCCTGCTGCCTGGCCCCGTCCACCGGCTCCTCGAAGGGGCCCGCATAACGCTCCATGGCGTCCACTACCCGCCAGCCGCCGGCCGAAACGACATGACCTCGGTTACGTCAGTCCCGGGCGCAGTGCATCCCGCCCCCTTTTACGACAGTTCTGAGCACGGCGCCGCCGGCTTTCTGAGTCAGCGAGAACGAGGCTCGCTCCATCGCTCCGCGGAATCTCCTAGGAGAGTCCCGCATTGTCCCCGTCCCTTATCCCGCCGTCCCGCCCACGCAACCTCAGAGCTATAATCGCACAGCCTTGAAATCGCGAGATTTCGAAGAACACCGTCCTACCTGCACGGAGTAGGCGTGGACGGAGGTCCAGGCCTCAATTTCCTCTCTTCGGGAAGGCTTGATGCGTAGCTCTGCGCGGTCCTGCGCATGCGTCTGTGGGCAGCTTGAGGCCCCCGCTCTCACAACCTGGTCTTTCCCCGCAAAAGTTGGTTGAGTCGCTGAGCCCTAAGCTCCACCAATTCAAGCAGCGTGACCTTGAACCGGTTTTGTTACCTTCGGGTCTCAGTCTCCTTGTCTTCTCTTCTTCCCCACCGCCCCCGCTGGGGTCTGGGAGCTCCGGGCAGGGCCTGCACGCGAGAGGCAATGCCTGGCATCAGGCTGGCAGCGGTGCTCTCCAACCCCTATCATCCACCTCCACCCAGCATCGTCAGCATGAAGAAAACCCGGTCCAATGCGTCATCCCAGCCTTGAGAATAAATTGCCAGTAATCCCTAATTACAGTTTTTATTAACTACGAAAATATACGCTCCCCCCTCTCCCCAAATCTGACGGATGAATATTCTGCTGGCCTCATGGGGACAGCAAGCGGGAGATTCCTGCCTCAACTACCATCATGCCTTCCTCATCTCAGTGGGAGAGAGTCTAGCGTTGTCAAAAATTGGGAGGGGGCTGGTGTAGAGCAAAATGCAAAAGTAGATAGAATCTAGAAAAAAATGACCAGAAAGAAGGCTTGTGTGACCAACTTGAGAGGACAAATCCAAGTGGCCATGGATGGAATGTCCAGACCCCTGGGGGCTCTGTAGGGTCAGGTGCAAGGAGAGGAGCCGCTGATTTAGGGACTCTCCTAGGGTGGTTGTGATGCAGGATTGGGTGAACTTATCCCCTCCCTTCCCCAGAGGGAGAGAGAGAGAGAATCCTTGACTGTGCACAAAAAAGGATGCGCGTGGGTGCCAGAGTTAAGAAACCAAAGGAAAGTTTATTAGAGAAGGAATAACGCTCCACAGTCATGGTCTCCTGTCAAAGACAGAAAATGAGAGAGACTCCAAGTGTCCAAGGAATTCAGTTTAAATGTTTTCCTTTCCAGGTATGAGTATGCAGTGTTGAAGGCATGAGGAAGTAGTTGTTAGTAATCTCAGCAAGAATCTTCCTGTAGGTTCCCTGTGATCTGACCATATGCAGATCAACAAGGTTCCCCCACATCTAGCAGCTCTGGTTTAATATTTAGTCAATTTGTGTAGTTCTCATGACTCTTTCCTATATTAGTTACTTGACCAAACTTTGAGCAGGCTCCTCTGAGCCCCCTTTTTGACTAGGCCTCATCCTTGGGCCCTATCTTTGGTCTGCCTAGTCTAGTTGTAGCAAGAATCCTACTAAGTCCGTTTAGAGAGACTCTCCTACCCTTGATATCTGATCACCCATGATGTCTGATCAAATTCTTCATCACCTACTCTCAATATCCGATCATCCTGACCTGCCTTCAGCAAGAATTCTGTATAGTTTAGCAAGGATTCCCCTACCCTTGATGTCTCCTTTTAGTAAGTTTTCATCCACTAACCCTCCTGCTCTGCTCAGGATCATAAATTCCTAGCTGTCTTTGCTGTATTTGGAGTTGAGCCAGATCTCTCTTCTCCATTGTGATAGACTTGGCACCTATGGAAATAGTCCTGAATAAAGTCTTCTTTACCATTGAACGAGTGTCCGAATAATGCTTTCTTTAATACTCTGCACACAGTGGCTTGGCCCCAGGAGGGGGTGATAGGGTTAGGCTACAGGACAGAAGGAAAAGAGGGCAGCTCTACTGCTGTGGCCACTGCTAGATCCTTGTTCATCAGTAGTCCCTTCAGAGGGTCAAGGATCACCAGCCCAGAGAAACTGTGGCCTCATGCACCATGAAAAACCAAGCAGTGGGGTGACACTGGTGTCTGTCTGTCCCCCCACTCATTCTGCTGGGGGTTGAGACTATGACACAGGATCGCACTGGAGCTACCTCATCACTTCTTACTCCCTAACTCTTTGGGGAATCCTGCTGAGATGTGGACTTCCCTGCCCAGTCCCTCAAAACAGAGCTGCAGCTGATAAAACCCTCATCTGCCATCTACAATGGGCTCCTTAGCAATGGGGTATCCCACAACTCATACTTAGTTTCTGGCCGTTTTGTTTCTGTGCCATCCTTTTGTTGTGCGGGACAAGAATCACAGGGAGCTGTCACCTCATGCCACTCTTCCTTCCCCTGTGTATGTAAATGATAAACTACGAATTGAACACAGCTCATTGTAACTTTACTGGTCAGATCGGTCAGGACTTGGCTTTGGCCTTGGCATGTCTGGGTGTGCTTTACAAATGGGCTGGCAGAGTTACAATGCCTTTTAGAAGACGAGGGGCTGCGTGGCCTGATGGGCTGGAGAGATGACTCCTGGGCACAGCTCTTGCCTAAGTGCTGGGTGGAGGGAGGAGGACAGGTTCTCCCTCTATCTCATCAGTTCAGGGAGCTGCAAGGGCACAGCTCTTGCCTAAGTGCTGGGTGGAGGGAGAAGGACAGGTTCTCTGTCTCACCAGTTCAGGGAGCTGCAGGGGCAGCTCTCCAGAGCCTAAGAGTTTGTGCCACCTGTTGAAAAAATGTTTTTCAGTGGCAAGAGGTAGTGTTTGTCGAGACCAAGTAAAAGGCCATTCAAAGCCAAAATCGAATTGGGACCCCATGAAGTTTGGCCCAGCTCCCACTCAATTCCCTGGGCTTCCAGCTAGGAGATGATAGTCAAGGGCAGCTGCTATGGCGGTGCTTTGTAAAGCTTTGGGGCCTGTGTTTCTATTAAGAAAACACATAATAGAGTTTGGGCCAAAAATGTCCTGTGAAGAAAGGAAAAGAAGTGAAAGGAAACTTGCGAGTGAGACTTGGGCTGATTCACGATAGGTATTGTTGTGCAAAGGTGTAATTGGTTTGTCAGTCGCACTGTAGGTGTTCATGAAGATAGAAACCCTCCTCTGATGTGCAAGGTGTTCACTGTATAAACGATGCCTTGCTGGTCTAGCAGACTTGTTTGAAATGCTGTGGGCAGACTCACAGCCCTGAATTCCTTGGTCAGGCAGAGAACAACTCCTGTCTTTTACAAAGTAAAGAATTTTATGTTCTTGATGCGAAAGCCACAACTCATGCAAGAGTGTGTCCGATCGTCTTGCAGAAAAGAGGTCACACACCACGGGTCTTTGCCCCATGTGCTCCAAACAGATTGATACCACTGGATCTTTCACTTTCCTCCTGGAGGTTGACACAGTCACAATGGTCTTTGGAAAGAAAAAAAGAAAAAAGAAAATGGAAGACTCTGAAGCCTGACTGGCCATGTGCAGAGCGGGACTCTTCAGATGGTAAACCTGGTTGCCAAAATGTTTGGTGATGAGGGGCCGAGTGGTCCTTGACTGCTGTACCAGAGACCCTGGATGAGTTACACTGATGGTTAGTTGGAGATAAAACAAGAAGACGCTCCTAAAGTTGAGGAAAGCATTTGCGGTTGCTGCTCACCCTCCTGCATCACAGGGAAAATGAAACCGCTTTGCTCCAACTAGTGATAAAACTCTCCCTGCGGCTCAGGTGTGACGGCAATACTGAGATATTCTGCGGTTGGCTCTTAGCAGCAGCGGGAAAGGAGGGAAATGAGACATTGGCTTGGCTCCCCTGGATAGCACATGGGGAAGCCCACAAGTCTGTGGATGACAAGAAGTGGACCTCACTTCGTTGCCTAATGACCATCCCATTCTCAATGCCATCCTGGCCATGACCACTGTGCCAATGACATGGGCATGGAGGAAGAGCTAGCAAAGACCACCTGAGATTCATCACAAATGGTCTTTATATTCACAGTGACACAGTGAATGTGTTTCTGTCATCTCCTAAGTGCCCATGGACAGTAGTAGGGGAGCTCTGTCTTTTCAGGGCCACTGTAACCGGGTTTATAATGAAAACATGAATGCCCAGATGATGAGATGATCGCTGGATTTGGCGCTTGGGCTGATATAACAAAGTATCACAGCCTGGGCAATTTAAACAACACTTATTTTCTCATAATTCCAAAGGCTATAAGTCTGAGATCAGGGCCTCAGCAGGGTTGTTTTCTCCTGGGGCCTCTCTTCTTGGCCTGTAGATATCTACCTTCTTGCTGTGTCCTCACATGGTCCTCCGTGTGTGTCTGTGTCCCAATCTCCTCTCCTTATAAGAACACCAGCCCTATTAGATTAGAGTCCACCCTAATGACTCATTTTAATGTAATTACATTTTTAAAAGCCCTATCCCCAAATACAGTTATGTTGGGTTGCGATAGTTTTCCATTGACATTTGATCACAGGACATGATTATACTCAGAGACGCCCTAAGCAATTTCCTGCATTCCAGACACTCTTCCTTACTTCTACTGTGGAGTAGCAGTCCAATTTCCACTTCGTAGTCAAAGTTAGTCACCCCAGGCAGCACCTTGACTCCCTTCTTTGCTTATTGATTCAGAGGCATGAGGAGACCAAAGTGGTCAGTGCAGGCTTAACCTCCAGTTCAACAGAATCATTGTTGTGTCTCCTGGTGGCAGCCTTTCTCCCTCTGTAACTAAGACCTAAAGGCCAGAAGAGGATAAAGTTATGGGAATAGGAATCAAAAATTTTGATAGTGGGTTGTTAGGGTAACGGGAGTGGGGCCACTCCTATGTCCACCCTTGATTCATGGACCCATGAATCCTGGCTATCAAAAAACAGCTCCACAATCGGACACTAATTCAGAGCATATATAACCTTCTGGAGAACCTCGCAGCAGTCCCCCAAGGTGTTGCCACCTAGCTGGTGCTACAACTGAGTCTTCAAAAGGCTATTCTGCTAC